TGATATATATTTAGGGACTACAAAATAATTCAATTCAAAATAATAGCATTTATCATAATGTGATAAACTCAAAACTTCTTTAATCATGCATCAATGATTTATCCTGCTTGTGTTAATATTGATATGTTATTTATACTCAATTCACGGGGATTGAATTTACTGATTCGTGATCATACTGTTACTGGTGAGAGCTTACCTGACTTGATATATATTTAGGGACTACAAAATAATTCAATTCAAAATAATAGCATTTATCATAATGTGATAAACTCAAAACTTCTTTAATCATGCATCAATGATTTTATCAAACTCAAGCCACACCTGTCATCCGCTCACTGAGAATTTTTGTTTCACCCCACCTATTTTTTCTATATTCAAATNCCCCCCCCCCCCCCAGATGAGGAGCAATCTAAAGACAAGGAGCAAGGAGCTGACATCCAAGATCGAGTGAGACGAGATCACTCGTTGAAGTGAGAAGTTATGATAACTAGAGTGATTATTGTTTTTAATCTTAGCTATATCTGCTGTAACCGAGTGTTTTATTTGTATTTCCGCTGCCAGTTTTGTAAGTATATTAAAAAGTAAAAACCATATGATTCAAATTTTGAATTTTTGTTTAGACTTAGTTTTTTATTTTTATATCTAGTTTTATTTTCTTCCCCATTAATCTATTTCTCGATATCAATCGTCTTTTCGTGTTTGGCGTCACGCCCTCGTCCGACTCGGTGTGGGGGCATGACACTCTCTTGCTTAACGTCGAGAAGATCGCGACATCAAGGGCCTGCAGATCAGGTACAATCTTCACCATCGCGGAGTCAACGCCCCCAATACCCTTTACCAACTCGGTGCCTGCAGGAGGTGGTTCCGCGTTCTCTTCGGCCGCAATTGTCGCGGGCCTCTCCGTATATTCGACGACCTCCTTCTTGATTTGAGCCGGAGTCATAAGATCAAAGTGTTGCTCAACGGTAATGTCGGCCAAAGTGGATATGAACACGTCGGCGAACTCTTCTCTTTTCTCCTTCTCCCCTTCAAGGACCATATTAACATAGGCTCTCCAAAGAGCGACCCGCCTGTCCTCGCCCAAAGGAGGAAGTCCGCGGGCAACCACATCTGCATCGGTGTTGTCCAGAATTAGATCGCAACAGCGCCGCTCGTCATCGTCGGCAGGGACGTGAATCTCCTCGATCTCGGGGTCGAATCCAAGTCTTTCAATTTTCTGAAGTAGAATAGCCCTTAGATCCCCGACACCGTATAGCCCAGACTGGAACCGGTCAATCATTCAACAGAGATTCAAGCAAGAGTTCAACTCGATATCCCTCTCCATCTCCTCGGACCCCTTGAACTCCTTGCCGAGTTCTTTTCCGTCCTCCACTTCCTGCGCCCGCATGAGTCCTCCGTACTCAGTCTTTTCCTTCTCCATTTTAGCCAACTCGGCCGCGTGCGCCTCTGCCAGGAGAATCAGCTGAGACTCCTTGTCGACACGATCTTGACGAGTCAACTAGAGCTCCTCTATCTCTTTCAGATATCGGTTCAAATTGTTTCTAACCTCTATCTTGAAATTACCAATCTGCGTCGTAAGCTTGCGCACTTCGTCCTCGAGATGCTTCTTGTCGGCTTTTAGCTCATCGATCTCGGTCTGGGATACAGCTAACTCACCACTCTTCTTCTTCACCTTGGCTTCCAAGTCGGCCTTCTCCGACCTCAAGGACACGATCTAACCGTCGCGCAGCGCCACCTTGTCTTTTCGCTTATCTAATGCGGCAGCATTCAGACGAAACTCGTCCTCCATAGCAGTAAGGCCGACCAAGGCTCTTCCCAAGCAAGCCTTCGCATAACTGAACCTTTAGACGCTCGACAGTCCAGACACCCGCATCTCGGAGAGAGGGTCCCGCGACATCAACGGGACCCTTGCTGCCTGGATCACGTGCGGCGGCTTGTAGAACTTGTTGGGTATCTTTGGTATTGCCAGCAAATGGAATTGGGTGAACCATTCTTCCATCACCCTTTGGGGAGATTGAGGATGAGGACCCTCTCTTCATCGACGGGCAGATAAGACTTGCCTCCGACTTGATGACTGGAGCATCCTTCTCTAAAGATAGTTGGCCGACGTCCTGGCTCATCTTGGAGTGCCGTTCACCCTCCGCATCTGGTTCATCCCCGACCTCCCTCTTCGACTTTCTCTTCTTCTTCCGATTTGAGGATTCCTCCGTGGCCTTTTTGGCCACCTCGATTTCCTCCGAGCTCGACATGACGACGTGGAGGTTGGGGTTGGCTACATCGGTTTCCTTCTCCACTTCGGTAGGAACGGTGGGGGATGTAACCACCAATTCAGTATTCTCCACTGGAGCAGGTGCTGGAACGGGCTCAGCGACCGGAGCAGGTGCAACAACAGTAACTAACGGGCCCGATGTGGCCCCAGCACCGACCCATCTCGGTATCTTTGGCGGAGAATTGACGTCGGTAGTCTTTAGTTTCTCGAACAGATTTAAACCCGAAAAGGCCGAGTAGCGGATAATACACTACAGTAGAAAAAGTGCAGAAGAATCTAACTTAACCACCAAAACAAATGAAAAAAGGAAAGAGAGAATCCACTTAACCGATCTAAAGGAAACACACCGGTTTCAAAGTCGGGGATGGGCCTTTTTGCTGCGAGTCCAACGTCGGCGAGTTTCAAATTCTTCACTAACAAACTCCACTTGCGTTCGGGGACGGTTAGTCGAGCGAGCTCGTCAAGCCTATCCCAGAATTCACAGCCGAGTTTGGGTTCCCTCTTCCTTTTGGCTACAAATACGAAAAGGTCCGACCTGTTAGCGAAGGAAAAACAGCTCGTCCGAAGACTCTAAGTATAAAAGAGGAACTTACGATAGGAAGAAACAACTCAGGTTGAGACCATCATCCCATTGTGCAGTTTGCAATAATGTAATTTTTATGCATTTCCGTAAACCAAACTAAAAAATGTAATATTATTAATGATCTTGCACAAACCAAACTAAAAACTGAAATAATAGGTTTATTTGATCGGCTAACTAAATTAATCTAAATAATTTATAATTTATGCTATGAAAATATATCTACTACTTTAATACTTTTATTTAATATTCTTTATTAGTTTTTTTGTATTTAAGACCCATATATATATATATATATATAAAACAAAATATCATTCTTTTTATACAGTTCTATTGTTGGGTTATTTAAAACAATAAAGCTGACATTGAACTGAGATAACCAAACTTTTAAAAATGAAAAGCAAATAATCGAACCAAAAAATAAAATTCGAACCCAAAACTTTGTTGTTTCGAACTCTATAGTGCAATCTGTTAGTCATTAATGTGCAATCTGTCTATCATTAATGTGCATTCGAATTGCAGATATTTTTTATAAAAATATTTTCAGTGTGTTAATATTTTTATTAATATTTATATAATTTTTTATTATAATGTTTAATGTGAATAATCAAACTGATTTTTTATGCCCAATACTATTTTAATGTTTTATAATATTTTTATTTAATATTTATTTATAATTTTAATATATATGTATAAAGAAAGATATAAAACGTAATCTTTTCTTTATAAATTTATTCTAAATTACAAATTTGACCCTTGACCTAAATTGAAATGTAATCAAACTTCATGAAATTATGAATAGGACCATAAAAATATCTAATTTACATAAGAAAACCCACCCTAAATTAAATGAATTCCCGGCCAAAATCCAAAACCTCTATTTCATCTCCTTTTCCGGCCAAATCCATCTGACCAAGGCCAACAGTCGATTGATTTATTCCCGACCAAGACCCCGCCGGCGAATTCCATGTCCATCAATCCATCCGCCACCTCCGTCAAACATATTCGACACCCCCCAACCCTAAATCAGCCGTTGTTCGGCTCACTCCGTGCGCGGCGGGTCCCTGAGTGGACTGGTGAAGCGACGGCTCGCCGATTTTGTGTCGCACCGGCGAACAAGGGAGACGTACCTGCGACGGCTTGCCGGCGGTCGACGGGGAGGCTATACCTCTGAAGCATGTCACCGTAGTCGATGTTGTTGGTGTAGTATCCGCCGCCATCGATTGAAATGCTGATGAGTGAGCCGCCGGGGGGTCTTTTTTTGTTGCAGTCTGTGCGTGTTTTTTGTGCCGCGTCCGGCGACGGCGCCGGACATGGTCGACGGACGATGTACAATGAACTTGTGTTGCTTCTGGCGACGGCGACATACATGGAGCGACGACCATCGGAACTGGAGCGCCGCTGATGGCCGGTGTGGGGGTGGGGCGGTTAGTGTGTGCAGTGAGTGTGTGTATATGTTGTGTCTGCGTGCCAGAGAGAAATAGTGGGTGATTGCGGGGTGAGGTGGGGTGGCTTGGTGTGGATAGGTGGAGTGGTTGTGTGACTACTGACTAGTGGGTGGGGTTAGATTGTTTGATTGTAGTATAAAAATTACTGTAATACCCTTAATGAAGGTATATCTTTGGTATTTTTATAAGTCGTTGACCATACGATCTAATGGCTACGTTTTATCCTTATTTCTTTCATTGAGCACCATTCTCACCGGAGCGCGACTCTCTCTCTCTCTAACTGTAGAAAAAAAAATTATATATATCTATATATATTATATTTCAATTCATTTCGGTCGGTACATTTGTTATGTTAAAGTGCAATGTCAAATGCACAAAAGTGCAACATATTTTTTATATATTTCTTTATACTTATATATTAAACTAATAATTAATTATTAAATAAAAATATTATAAAATATTAAAATAATATTGGACATATTGTTTTATTCAATATTATAGATTTGACTCATGAACTAAATTGAAATATAATCAAATTTCAAGAAATTATGAATAGGTCCTTAAAAATCATCTATTTTTCATAAGCAAACCCCATCCCCAAAATTAGCATGATTTTCGGCCAAAACCACGGGCCACCATTTCATCTCGTCGCTGGTTAACAGTGAGCTTATTTTTTCCCGACCAAGACCCCGTCGGAAATATCATGTCCATCACTCCATCCGCCACCCTCCGCCAAACATATTCATCACCCCTCCACCAAAAAACAGCAGCTGTTCGGCTCACCCCTTCCGCGGCGGCGGAGGCGGCTCCAGCCAGTCGCTCTGGGTGGACTGGTGACTCGACTGCTCGCTGATTTTGGGTCGCGTAGACCAGCAAACATGGAGATGTACCTTGGCGGCGCCGGCTTGCGACTGCTGGAGAAGCAGGAACACGTCGCTTTCTTGTCGACGGCCGACGGTGAGGCTGTAAGTACAGAGAGTGTCGCCGTAACTGGCGGCGCTGTTGTGATCTCCGCTGCCATTGATGCGCCAACGCCGGCGAGTGAGCCACTGGTGGGTTGTTATTTTCTTTATGTGTTCTTGTGTGTATTGTATGTAAGAGAGCATGAAGGTGAGAGAGGGGCACACAGGCAGTTGAGATGGAAGGGGTTGGTGCGTGTAGTGTGGGTTTTGGTGGGGCCCATTGTTGGTTAGGTGATTTAGTATGTTGTAATGACTGATTTACCCTTAATGAATATGAAAATAGACATTTTTTCTAACCATTGGATTGTTCGATCTAACAGCCACAATATATTCTTGTTTCTTTCACTAAGCACCTTTCTCACTTGAACTCAACCCTATAAATATACATATATATAGAAGGGATCATATGAGAATGATAGATAATGAAAGAAATAAGAATGATCTCGGACCATTGGATACACCAAATCAATGATCATGATCAAGTCAAATTTTAATAAGTGGCAGTCAAACATGGTGGCATTATTGAAAATAAAATGTAATAACAAGGTCAACTATGTGCATTTTGTTTGTTATGTTTTTTTCGTGCTTTACTGTGTTTTATGTGTCTTAGTTGAGTCGATTTTAGTTTCGGTGTTGTGTCAACCGGTCCATTTTGTCGTGTTTTATGTGTTTTCATTCACGTTATCTGTTTTAGTAGTTTGTCATACTTTCTTGCGTATTTTGGTGTTGATTAGGTCCACATTGTTCGAGTCGGGATGATGAGCTATTTCTGAGACATATTCGAGCCATGTCTTAACCTTATCCGAGCCATCCGGGCTATTTCCATGACAAGACGCGCGCCTGACATTCGCTGCCAATGGCCGCTCGCGCCCAACGAGCCAAGCATCCACAAGCACCCCAGCGCACTCGCAGCCAAAGTCACTTCGCGACCCGCAAGTGCACGTGGGCACTCAGCGCCCCAACCTCAGTACTCGTAGCCAAGCCTATCTAGATACCAGCGAGAAGGCCCAGCAACACACGCGACACTCGCTGCCAAAAGTGACTCGCAACCAGTGAAGCGCGCGAGCGGACAGTCCACACACTCGCAGCGAAGCACATCTGGCTACCCACGAGACGGGCGGCATAAGCGGAAAGGCAGTGTACTCGTCGCGGAACTGAATCCGCGTCCAGTGAAGCGGCGCGCTGTAGTGATCCAATTGTTTTTGTAATATTTTTGGTAATCTAATGTTGAATTTCAGAATGTAAATTGATTGTATTGTAAGGAAGATGAGAATGGGGAAGAGGGATTTAGAGAGAGAAGAGAATCTATTTGCATAACCATATGGTTTTCACCTTCATTTCACCAATAAGTAAATAACATCAAACGGGTCCAAAGCCAACAACCTACTAGAGTACTTATAAGGAAAATATCTAAAATGTAAAACATAAATGCCATTTATACTAATTAACTTAGAAAACTAAGTCTCGAATGATGCCTCCACGTGAGCCGCACGATCAGTCTTCTCCTTACTGAGATCAATGGTCTCCGTCTTGCCACGCGTCGCCTGCTCAGCCTTATCTTCAAAATCAGACACAACTCGATCGACTGTCTGAAATCCATTCTTTTTGTCCTCCCCAATTCCTTGTTCTTCACCATAGCCAAATTGTTCCTCAATTCCTTCTGAATTCATGACATTACCTTCCCCTTTTTCAGATCTTTGTCCACAAGGATCAAATCCTTTGAATTTCTTCCGAATGAACTTCTCATCTTCCCAGGAAGTGATGCCTAGGGTTTTGTCGCCCCGAATCACTAACATCTGTTGCACAAGCTCGCTGCCTCGCCTCAGGCTGCGCCGATTTAGAACTTCAGTTGGGCGTGCAGTGAATTGGCCATCTTCTTCAGGAGTGGGTAGCTTGTCTACAGATAAGTCCTTGTCTCCCTTCTTGTTTTTTAATAAAGAAACATGAAATATTGAATGTACCCTGGATCCTTCAGGTAATTCTAACTTGTATGCAACCTTTCCTATCCTTTCAATGATTTTGTAGGGTCCAAAGAATCGGGAACTAAGCTTGACATTTTTTCTCAATTGCACTAAACTCTGGTGATAAGGCTGCAGCTTGAGGTAAACCATATCCCCCACCTCATCTTCTTTATCAACCCTAGATTTATCAACATAGGATTTCATTCTGTTCTGGGCTGCAAGTAAATTATCTTTGAGTCCTTGCATCTTGAGTTGTCTCTGTATGATGAAATCCTTTGCGTCAAAATTAGGAGAATCAAGATAGGCTTTAAGTGATAGAGATGTAGGTGTGTACCCATACAGGGCTTCAAATGGTGTAGACTTGAGAGCTGTGTGGTAATTGGTGTTATACCAATACTCAGCCAAGGTCAACCACTGAAACCACTTCTTTGGGGAATAATGAACCATGCATCTCAGGTAATTTTCCACACACTGATTCACTCTCTCAGTTTTCCCATCAGTTTGAGGGTGATAAGTGGAAGAAAGACTCAGTGTTACCCCTACCATTTTGAAAAGCTCCTTCCAAAAACAAACTTGTGAACAATTTGTCTCTGTATGTCACTATGCAAACTGGTAGTCCATGAAGTTTGTAAACATGATCCATGAACATCTTGGCCACATCTTGAGTAGTGTAGGGATGTGAAAGAGCTAAAAAATGCCCATACTTAGTCAATCTGTCCACAATAACCAAAATTAAATCCTTGCCCCATGACTTAGGTAATCCCTCAATGAAGTCCATTGAGATGTGTGACCAGGCCTCATCAGGTATTGGGAGTGGTTGCAGTAGTCCTGAGGGTGGTTCATTGGTAGGTTTATTAATTCTGCAAGTGTCACACTCCTGCACAAACTTCACAACATCAGGTTTCATCTTAGGCCAATGGAAAACCCTCTTTAGTTTCATATATGTCCCATGTATACCAGAATGCCCTCCCAAAGAGGAACCATGCATAGCTGAGTTCAGATTAGTCCTCAATTTCTTGTCTTGACCCACACAAAGCCTCCCCTTGTACCTGAGGATCCCATTTTGCCAACTGCAATTTGGCTCAGAGCATGGAGCCAGTATTAATTTTTCTTGCAATCCTTTGATGAGTGCATCTCCCTCATAACTGTCAACAATCTCATTCACCCACTTAGGTACCACAGTTGTTATGGCTGTGCACTCCACTGAATCAGTTTAAACCCTAGAAAGAGCATCAGCTGCTTTGTTCTCCTTCCGTTTTCTGTAGTTAATTTCATAGTCCATCCCCAGTAATTTGATGATCCCTTTTTGCTGCCAAGAGGATGCTACTTTTTGATCCAACAGATACTTAAGGCACTGTTGATTAGTCCTAATGACAAATTTATGCCCTTGTAGGTACTGCTTCCATTTCTGTACTGCAAGTAGAACAGCTAGAAACTCTTTTTCATATATGGATAGGGCTTAATCCTTAGGACACAATGCCTTACTGAGGTAGGCAATGGGTGTACCTTCCTGCATGAGCACTGCACCTATCCCACAACCACTGGCATCAGTCTTTAATATGAAAGGTAAGGAGAAATTAGGTAGGGCCAGAACAGGTGCTATGGTCATGGCTTCCTTTAATTTTATGAAAGCCTTGTCAGCCTTCTCACTCCACTTGAAATTGTTCTTCCTCAGCAATGTGGTCAGAGGTTTGCTGATTTTCCCATAACCTCTTATAAACCTCCTGTAATATCCTACTAAACCCAAGAAACCCCTAAGTTGTTTCACTGTAGTTGGGGTTGGCCAATGTATCATGCTTTCCACCTTATTAGGATCTGTGGCTACCCCTTCTGCAGAAATTATGTGGCCTAAGTATTCAACCTTTGAGTCCCCAAAACTGCACTTGCTCTGTTTAGCATACAAAGCATTTTCCCTTAACACTTGCAAGACTGCCCTCAAATGTAGCAAATGATCTTCCTCAGCCTTACTATAAATTAATATGTCATCAAAGAAAACAAGTGTGAATTTCCTCAAGCTGTCTTTAAAAACTTGATTCATGAGAGATTGAAATGTGGCAGGGGCATTGCAAAGCCCAAATGGCATAACAAGGAACTCATAGTGCCCACTATGAGTCCTAAAGGCTGTTAAGTATCTATGCTCCTCCTTCATCAAAATTTGAAAATACCCTGACCTCAAATCAATTTTTGAAAAGTATCTGGCTCCAAATAATTCATCCATTAACTCCTCAATGACTGGAATAGGATAGTCATGTTTAATGCTTAGAGTGTTCAAGTACCTGTAATCCACATACAGCCTCCAAGTTTGATCCTTCTTCTTCACCAACAATACTGGAGAAGCAAATGGAGGTTTGCTGTTTTGTATGACTCCTGATTTAAGCATTCGTTCACCATTTCTTCAATAACATCCTTTTGGTCATGAGAGACCCTATAGGGAGATTGTTGCTTGGGTTGGCTACCTGTTTTGAGAGACCCTGTACTCCTGTAAGAGCATGTTTAAAGATTCATTCAGTGCAGTTCCTGATGGATTAATTGTGAGCAGGTACATTTCAGCTATCTGACCCTCCTCTCCACAGCTCAGCATACTGTACAAGGAGTGTTTTGAGATCAAGTGACACTCTGCCCGTTGAGTTAAAGCTTGCAGTCTCAGTCTTTGTCCCCCTATGCTGATAGTCACTGTCATGGCATCATAATCAAGTTCTATAGGGGTACATGATCTTAGCCAATCCCCTCCTAGGATTATGTCACTCCCTTCACTTTTGAGTACTCTTAGAGTATAAGACATTTCCCTTCCTTGCATAGACCAGGTCAAATCCTTAACATGCTGACTGCTCACTAGTTTCTGCCCATTTTCCACTTTGACACCCAAAGGCCTTGTAGGTAGCATTTCACACCCAAGAGAGTGTGTTGTGGATTCCTTGATGAAACTTAGTGTGCTACCTGTGTCCACCAGGATGTGTAGCTTTTTGTTCCCCACATAGCCAAGAAATCTCAGTCTTGTGAGACTCCCTTTACCTGCCAATGCATTCAAGGATATTTGTACTTCTTCTATGGCTACTCCCTGGTCTGCTCCTAGTTCATTTTCCACCATCTCTGTTTGCAAGTAAGATAATTCCTCCTCCTCTGTCATAATCATGTAGTTTATCCTGTTCTTGCATCTGTGGCCAGGTACAAACCTCTCATCACAATTGTAACAGAGCCATTTTTCCCTTCTAGCTGTCATTTCTGCTAAGGTAAGCAATTTAGTGTTTACCTTTTGGGTTGTGACAACTGGTGCCTTAGTGTGGTAACTCTGATTTGGTTGAACCCTGTGTGAGTTTGTATGCTGTGGCAGGGTGTATGGTCTTTGGTGCCCTTTGAGTTTCTTTATAATAGCTTCTAGAGTTAAGAGTTGTTTGTGCCCTAGCTCAATAGTTTGCTGAAGAGTACTGGGGTTAAACATGTGTATGAAAGCTTGCAATTCCTCACTTAAGCCACTAATGAAACTGGCTATGAAGTATTCTTCAGAGAACTCACCTTGGCTCATGAGAAGCATGCAAGACCTCAACTCTTCAAATTTCTCAACATACTCCCCAGAAGACCCTGAGTGCCTTAGTTTGTTAAATTCTGCAATGATCCTGACCTCCTTGAGTTCTTCAAACCGTGCTGAAATGATCTCCACAAACTGGGACCATTCCCAGTCCACTTGTTTAGTGCTCACATTATGGAACCACAAAGTAGCCTTTCTCTCTAAGTGCATAGAGGCTAATGTAACCTTCTGAGTTTCTGAAATATTAGGCACTAGTTTAAAGTAACTATTACATTTTAAGAATCCAGGCCCTGGGATTTGACCCATCAAATTTAGGAAAGTCAATTTTAGGAAGAGGCCTATTGAACTGGTAGTTTTGTTGACTTGTTGATTGTTCCCTGGTAAAGGTGCCTTTGATGAATCTGGTGTGGTTGCTCTGTGTAGTTTCATGGTTTGAAGAATTTGCGAGGATCTCCCAGAATGAAGTCTTCCTCATCATTAACTTTTTCTTTGTTTTCGTTTAACAGCTGCAATTGGATGGCTGCCATGGTGTTAGCAAGGTTTCCGAGCTTGCTGTTGACATCAATTTTTTGCTCCTTCAACTCCAGGTTTATCCCTTCCACTACCCCTTTCATTTCAGCACTAATTCCTTCCATTTTTTCATGTAACTTGATTTCGGAAGCCTCTCTTTTTACAGCCTCTATTTGCACAAACTGATCGATCCTTTTTTGTGCCTCTTGCAGCTCTTTTAGCCTAGTTCCATCAGCCATGGCCAAAGAAAGTTGGCTCTGGATACCAAATGTAGTGATCCAATTGTTTTTGTAATATTTTTGGTAATTTAATGTTGAATTTCATAATGTAAATTGATTGTATTGTGAAGAAGATGAGAATGGGGAAGAGGGATTTAGAGAGAGAAAAGAATCTATTTGCATAACCATATGGTTTTCACCTCCATTTCACCAATAAGTAAATAACATCAAACGGGCCCACAGCCAACAACCTACTAGAGTACTTATAAGGAAAATATCTAAAATGAAAAACAGAATTGCCATTTATACTAATTAACTTAGAAAACTAAGTCTCAAATGATGCCTCCATGTGAGCCGCACAATCAGTCTTCTCCTTACTGAGATCAATGGACTCCGTCTAGCCACGCATTGGCTGCTCAGCCTTATCTTCAAAATCAGACACACCTCGATCGACTGTCTGAAATCCATTCATTTTGTCCTCCCCAATTCCTTGTTCTTCACTATAGCCAAATTTTTCCTCAATTCTTTCTGAATTCATGACACGCGCGCCCAGCTAAATACCTAACACTCGCACCGACTTCCCACTCGCGTCTGGCAAAGCGGCACGTGCGCGAGGAAACAGTGCCACACTAGCAGCGAGCCTTCACTCGCGTTCCGCCAAATGCACACCCGCACCATCCCAAGGTCGGCAGTCGTGGCGAAATTATGTTGGCGACCTGCCAACGTGCATTTTCAATGGTTTTTCATGAGCAAACTCATTGTGAACTAGAATTCGAGACCTGCGAGCTGCAAAATTAGTAAATGTGTGTGCACCTAGTGTGTGCTTTTAGATTGCACTATAAATGCATTTTGGTCCTTTGTATTTGGACTATCTAGATTTCATTTGTCACTTTCCCACTTTGGGAATATCTCTTTCCTTTTTAGTTTTCTCTCTATTTTCTCCCTTGGAGCTTTATGTCATTATTTTCCAGTGACTTTCCGGCGACCTCGTCTTTTGTCCAAGTTCCGACCTTTTGAATCCGATTATCATCTAGCATGCAATAGAAGATTGGGTATTTACTTTTAAAGCTCATTACTTCGATTTTTGCCTCGTTTTTACTTATGATGATTATCATGGTGAATGTGAGTGTTTGTTGGATGATGGATGGGAAGTTTGGACTTGATCATTTTTATTGCTTGGTTTAGTAGGGATTAATTGCTTGCCGATCCAGATTAAGGGTTAAGACTCTATTAGCATAATCACTTAAGTTAGAAGGTTAGGGTTAGTGACCTAATGCTTAGAGCTTGCAAATTTCTCTTCGTTGATTTCGTTTAGTTTCGATGGCATAGAGACTCTGGTAGTGTTAATTGGTAAATTCTCTCGTTTGCTTGTTGCTTTCAATTCCTAGTGCAATTAGTGTTAATTCATTACCAATCCAATTGATTAGCATGTTTAGCTTTTATTTTCTCATTTTGTGTGATTTGGACAATTGAGTAGTGAACAGAGCTCCGAACCGTCTTCCTTTGAGAACGACTCGAGTTGGATACTCGATTATCAACAATCCCAAAAAATACTACAAAACACATTTGACCACCAATTAAGGGTAGATTGGTCATTATTTATAATGCCAACTCATCCAATGGGACCCACCTAAAACTTAACCCTATTATACATCTCCCACACACATATAAACACAGTTCACACACTAACTCGCACAACCACACACATACACACACATGCACACATGGCAGAGCCACCACTGTCTGCCGCATCTGACACCCGCCCGCTGCAACTGACCGCTGACCATCGCACAACCTCGCCACTCCCTTCGCCATTGACACCAACCATGTCCTGCCTCAGCCGCCGTCTGCCGCCACCAGTTGAGTAGCCGAGCATCCGCAGCCCGTCACTGGAGATCACTGTGGCATAGAATGCTCCGGAGACCTAGCCTCGTCCTCTACGCCATCGTCGCCGCCAAGCCAAAACAGTCTGCCGATTGCAATATACAACTCGTGTATGTGTGCGTGTGCTTGGGTGATGGTGTCGATAGAGGCAGGACGTCGACGGATGGACGATGGCGGCTGTGGGAGAACGGCGGAGGAGAATAAACGGCGGCTACGATCTGTGAATCGGATTAAATTGCCAATCTGTTTTTCTTTTTGCAATTATTTGTCTTTTTTGGGGGCGAGGGGGGGAGGCTGAGGATGGCGTCAGGTGTCAGCGGCGGAGGGCGGAGGCGTTTGGTGACGAGGGCGGCGACTGAAAATGAGTGACAGGCTGAGGTGTCAGCGGCGGAGGATGTTTTTTAGGGCTGGGGTTGGATTTGGGAAATTAGGTATATTTAGGGGACTTTTTGCAATTTCTAAACTTTTAGTATATGTATATTCATTTGTGGATTGTTATTTATAATTTAATTAGAATTAATTATGCACAATAATACCACATTAGATGCACAATATTTTGTGTAGGTGTGCACTTTAAAAAATGACGTAATGTGTATATCAAATTATTAAAATTTTGATAAATACGTCATGTTTTCGATAATTCAATTGCAAAATATTTTGTATAGTTTTGTGCTTTAAAAGTAAAAAAACCAAAAAATCAAAATGAAATATAAAATTCCGAATTGAAAAATTCAACATAATCGGTTTAATTGGCCGGTTAACATAAATAACCAACATAAATTATTTTATTTATTATAAAAATCATGATTAGTTTTTTTTAATATTATTTATTCTATATTTTATATTATTTGTTGATTAAAAATATTATTATGTCTGTAAATGAATTATAATGTGCAATCTAACAGTTATTAATGCGCAATTCGGCGAACAATACGGTGCACGGTAACGGCCTGTATTGTGCAGGTTGAACCAACTGAAATTTTGACACAAATCAAGTTGAAAATGAATTGTTTATTCGGTTCATTAATCGAATTATCCTAAATAATCAAAATAATCTGAAATTTATATTTAAATTATATTTAATATGTTAATGATTTTATTTATTATTTTTATATTATTTGTGGTTGTAAAAAAGTCAATTCGATCGGTTTCGATCTATAGTGTGAAATCTGATCATGCAGCCCGACATGTCGGTCGGTGAAAGATTTGCGTTAGAGGATACACCGTGATAACCGTTATGGAATATTCGAGAAAATACGATCGTAATTTCCTTGCTGATGTTAATAAGGTGAAAGCTAATTTCTCTATCGGAGTGTATCAGAGCTCAGCATCATGAAGAGCCTTGCTCCCATAATAGATCAAATTCTATTATGAGTTCTCCTCTCGAATGAGGACAACACTAATTGCAATATTTGTCACTCTGAGGTATACATACAACATTTCTCCGGACTTTGGCTTTTGCAGGACCGGTGGTTGAGTCAGGGCATGTTTGTGACTCTCAAGGGCCCATTGGCATTCTGTCGTCGATTCAAATTTCTCCCCCTTTTTGATAGCATTGAAGAATGGCTTACACCAATCCGTTGATTTAGAAATGAATCGGTTTAAAGCTGCTAGTCGACTGGTTAAGCTTTGTACGCCTGTAACAGAGGTCGGAGGTTTTAACTCCAAAATATTTTTGTTTTGATGGGATTAGCTTCTATCCCCCTCTGGCTGACCAGATATCCAAGAATTTACCGGAGCCAACCTCAAAAGTACACTTATTTGGATTTAAGACTATGGGATAATCACGCAAAATCTTAAACATTTCATTGAGACTAGTAACGTGATCGATTGCGTGCAATGATTTAACAAGCATATCATTGACATAAACTTCTACAGTCTCACCAAGCATACTGGCGAACATCTTATTGAAGAATTGCTGAGAAGAAAGAGGTATGTTCCTCATTCTCAGATCCATTGGAGTTTGATTGTACCCCGAGTAGGCGTCTATAAAAGTCACCAATTTAAGGGTAGTGGCGTCGACCATATAATCGATATGCGACAGGGTATAACTGTCCTTGGGACAAGCCTTATTGAGGTCGAAGAAGTCTATGCATAGGCGCCATGACCCGTTGCTTTTCTTCACAAGAACTGATTCGATACCCAGGTTAGATAACGGGCCTATCAGATAAGTTGATTATCGATCAATTTGATGACCTCTCCCTCCAATGTTTGTTTCCTATCAGGTCCGAGCTTTCTTCGCTTTTGTACGACCGACTTCACATTCTTATCCATATTTAACTTGTGGCTTTCTACCTTTGGATCGATACCAATCATTTCTTCATCGGCCCATGAGAATACGTCTGCATTTTCTCTAAGAAATTTAATTAACTTGGCTCGGGTCCCTCATATCTCGGTCAATGCGCAACTATTTTTGGCAGATCGGCTCATCCACATAAATGATTTCAATTTTTCGTATGGCTCGGCCCGCTCATTGCTTTTATTCGCATACTGATCCTGCGGGTCAAGCTTTTCATCTTTTTTCATGGGCTCCTTTCCTGGTCGTCTTCCCCGATCGACAGTTAAATCATCCACTAGATCGTTAGAAATAGACACCTTGAACCGGCCCTTCTGTATTTCATTTGCCCATTTGTTAGGATTGCAATAACTCAAAGGGCTATGGATCGCCCTCATCGACGTCCATCTCGGCGTTTAATAAATGAGAATCCTCCTAATTGTCTGTCTTGTCGACCATGTGAATTTCCGTTCTTGGAATGGCCAGTATACATTCCCGAGCTTCCCGTTAAACCCCATAATGTACACTGGGACCTTCAGAGGTCAAAAACTTGAGGGCATAATGAAAAACGGAGACATCAACTCGAATTTTATAAAGAGCAGTTCTTTCCAAAACGGCGTAATATTCATTATGATGATCGACGATTTGAAGGTTTCTAGAATCAGCTTTTCTCTTCCGTCCTCAGCAAAACGATGATCGATGTGAAGGAGCGCACCATCCTCCTTAGACGGCCGTTCATGGCGACCACGAACACGATGATCGATGTTAAGAGTGGGGCGCTGAACATGACGGTGTTAGGAGACACCATCTCTATTTCAGTCCGGGAGACTCGGCCAGAGCCGCCGACCAATTTTTTGGAGTGTGCAACCATTAGGGCGATAGAGCAGCTTACTGAGGATGCACGTATGCGAGTATACACGATGTGTGTTAGTGTTATATACTGAAAGCTTGGTTTGCATGTTATTACACATTTGCCCTTTATGAATGGAATCGTGTTAGATTAAACAAGTTCTACGTTCTGTTGTTCAGCAATTAGATATGGTGGGTCGTCATCGGGCGAACCGAAGATCACTCTATCAGTCACTTGTGAATAAGAATAGTTGTTCACAACCTAGATGGACATGAACACCCCATCCGAACGGTTGTAGTGACAACTGTACAATTTGTCTTGACTGATTAGTTGCACTAATACATTTATGTATTGAACAGGATCCCAGAGAGGAGAAGTTCATTTTATACTGATCGTCGTAAATGAACTAGGTCTCGGTTAGTTATTGCGTTCTCTTAACCCATAAGATATTAAACAGGCAGATATATATAGTATATATTACTCTGATTCACTTGGGTGAGGTTCAGTTCACTGGATCAATATTCCTACTTTTTTGGATAATATTATTATATATAAGATGTGCTGTTAGGATATTTACGGTCACCATGTGCGTTAGTTTGATGATGTCCCCGGAGTGAGTTCATGAAGGATTGTTATGCTAAACCCTGCAGGTGGATTAAGTTCCGGCATAATAAGAATGTGATGAACATCGCTAGCTTCGGTGAAATAATAATAAATTAATTAATTCTTGATTGTCAGTAATCAAATTAATTAATGGACATTATATCTTAAATGTGGGGAGGTAAATCGAGTAATTATTATTGGAGTCTCAAATGTAATTTGGGCTAGAAAAAGGGAGTGCAATAATATAATGTTGGTGGCCCATTAATATTATTTAATTAATTACAGGAGTGGACTTGGTCCATAGTTAGTCTAATTAATTAAGGAGCCCTTTTTCTGATCTCCTAAGGGTCCCTACTGTAGCTCTATATATACATCATTAAGCTCATGAGAAGAGAACGGAATTGCTAGAACTCGTGTGAAACGCACGTCCCTCTCTCTCTCTAGATCTCATTCGAGCTTTATCTTCTTCTTGTTGCTCCACTGGTACAAGTTGAAGAAGGGTGTATTGAGTAATACAGTAGAAGATCTGTAGGTAAACTGAGACAAAATATATTTTATTCTACAGAACTAACCGGAGGTCCGATTGAGATGCACAGCATACACAGGCGACCGTCTCAACGAGAGCTTTCCATCGCCGACGAGATCGCCGCTATCAGACACTGCATGCGCCGCCGGAAGCTCCCAGGATGCAAGTTTTGTTTTGATATGTTTGCATCCGTTTGATCCGATTTGATATGATCTTGTTCGTGCAACCCAAGACGTGATTTGCGGTCAATCAATTGCGGTAAACCGTTCGTGGTCAACCAGATCTACATAAATTTTAAGCCGTAAGTTCTCTACGTCAAACCTTTAGATCCGCTGCGCACAGGTTTACGTTTGCTATTGAATTCGTGACTTGTACATAACGAGATCCTCACAAATCCCAACAAGTGGTATCAGAGTACTTGGTTAATTCGTTTTGTACAAAGTTCAAATTTTTACAGCTTTATTTGACAAGATATGTTCAAACGCAGTCATATATTGGATTATATTTGCATAACTCGGTTTTGCAGGAAAATAGTTAATCCATTATTATGGCCGATTATGTGTTTGATGAATGTTTTTGAATGTGATGTATGGTTTTAAATTTGTTTTTAAAGCCTCGAACATGTCGAAGAATTTATGGAGGAATGTTTGTAATTATTATTCGCCCGGGGGTTGACCGGATAGATTTAATTATTTGTTTAGAAAACATGTACATCCATTCATTGGATCTAGGATCGAATTATGTAATTTTGTAAATTATATTTTTCGTTGTGATCGTATGTTGATGATCGGGAGATCACAAGAGATCAACGAGCCTCGAAGAAATAAAAAAAAAAAAAACTTTTCCGACCACCGGCGTCGGCTCGGTGGTGGCGGACGGCTGCTGCTGGGTGGAGAGGTTTTTACTTCATGTCCAAGCAGTACAAGATCAACCAGGATTCTACTTCTTAA